CTGGGGGAGAGAAGAGAGCAGCGGGTAGAGACCAGCCAGCTGGGAGATGAAATGGGGGAGGCAGGAGTTTGCCTCGAGTCCAGAGCCACGGCCGCGGGTGCAGCTTCACTGCTTTCTCTTTTCCTCGTTTCCCCAGGCTAAACTGCATTTTTAAACATCCATCACTACGAACCGAGACATTCTGATACATTTCTTAGGCCCTAAATGGTTTAACCTCAGCTGCCATTATATGGCATCCTCAGACCTCTCTGCATACAGAGATGTGACCGTCCCGTCCTTCCACTGGACCATCACATCTCCCGATCTCTGATCCTGGGGCACCGGCTCCTGCTTTTGCGGTTCGGGCGGGCTGTATTCCTGCACAGGCATCAGGGCTTGCTTGGCTTCCAGCTCAGCCTGCTGTGTGATTTGCTCTGCTCCTCTGTACACGTGCATCTTCCTTTTCCTGCAGGAAAGGCATGAAAAGGAAACAAGGAGTGAAGCAGCGAGCCCAGCCCACATCGGGGGGCTGGTGGCTACCCCCAGTGATGGTTACATCCATCTTTCCACACCTTGGCCCTGGGAACACGTTAGCTGCTTACGGGCAATCCCTGCCAGCTGCACTCTGTCATGTTAAGTGGTCTGAAGTGTCTGGGTACGCACAGCCGCAGGGTTTACACACGGAGAACACACAGCGCACCGCGTCACCCAAAGCGAGGCAGCAACACCCAGCAAGCCATCGTTCAAAGGACAGCACGGCAGACTGGTAACTTCAGCTCTTTTTCTCTTGTTTTAAGATGAAAGCTCTGACCCAGATGTAAGTTGTCTTGCTGTAGAAGACAGCGAGTTGTTCCTCAGCTGCAAGGTTGCTGTGCAGCAGTATGGCCCAGGGGAACATTGTGGGAATGCAGACGGGGAAAGGCTGGGGAGTCCTGCTCCAGAGCCCCTCGCATCACACATTTAACGTCACTTCCCTCCCAACTGGGCTGGGCAGAGCTGTTGCAGACGCTTTACCGGGGAGGATGCAGGGCCCGGAGAAGTGAAGCGGCTCGTTCAAAGTGAGACACGAGGAGAACAGAGAGTCAGGCAAGGTTTTACAACGAAGCACGGTTCAAAGGGAGTTTGTCTTTGCTCTTCTCCCCGTCACCCAGGGCTTGTTCCTGCCCTGCGTCTCAGCATGCTGCCGTGCCCTGCCAAACCCACCTGTCTGCCTGCCCTGGGGGGTCTCAGCGCGCCACCACACACCAAAAGACCCTCACATTTTTCTTACTCACCTGTTTCGCGCAATGTTAATGCCCAGGAGGAAAAGACCCAAAATCATGGCCACAAAGGAAAGTGCAAGGACGGAGTAATTCCACGTTGACGCTGGGGGAAAGCACGGAGAGGCAGCGTTAGCGTGCACAGAGCGGTGTGGCCCACAGAGCCTGGCCAGGTGCAGTGCCATGGCATGGCTGCAGGATGAGGGCAGAGGTGCTGGTGTCCAGCTCAGCACCCAGAGCAGAGCATCCAGGTCACATTTTTGGGGATAACCTAAAGCAACTCTCCCTCCCTGGGCAGGAGACTTACACAACCTCTTTCTGCCTCTCACAGCCGCCTGCCTGGGGCTTTGTCTCTCTCACACTGACCATATCTGCCTCGCCAGGCTTTTCAACCTTGTCTGAGAGCTGGGAGCGGCTGTGCCTGAGGGTGGGAGCAAGGCTGCCAGCTGCAGCAGCCCACCATGAGCACTGCTGGAAGGGCCCCTCTGCTCTGCAGCCTTTCGTGCTGCTGCCGCACTCAGGCAGGTAGATTTTTTGCCTTTGAACACTGGCTGGGGTGTGCAGCACAGACGGCAGCGGGTGCTCTGTCCTTGATTTTTGTGGCTTTGAAGTTGATCCTCAGGGTGCTGACCTGCTCATATCGATCTGCTCCCTCCACCCTGCCAAAATCACTGGTCATCCCAGACCTTTGCTCTCTTGTCAGGCTATGCCTGGAGAGAGGCTGAGCCTCCCTCTCTGGGAGGAGACACTACCTCAGCAAAGCCTCGTGCCCGTCTTCACCCATAGCCTGCTTCTTCTGGAGGTGAGACTCAGGGTTTATGTATCTGGGGTAAATGACCTCCTCATGTAACTCATCTCCATTGGGCAGGAGGTTTAACAGCCAAGGACTGTGTACCTCTACTCCAGCTCTCAACCCAGGAACGTCAATGGGACTTACGGTCTTCTCTGCGGAAGAACCAGAGCAGCTCCTCCAGCTCTTCTTGAGCTATACCCAGCGCAAGGGTCACGTTGCCTGCTGTGTGGTCGTACATGCGTGTGCTGGCAAGGGCTGCAGGGAAGTACCTGTCTTGCTTTGTCTCAGCTGCAGAGGAAAACAGCAGAAAGATGCAATGGTCACTCACTGCAATACTTCGGGCCAGAAACAGCCTTCCCCTTGGCTCCCAGGGCTGCCCAGCACGTCCCTCCCAGCAGGCTGAACACAGCCGTGCGGGCACAGCCTTATCTCACGCACGGAGAAGTGGAGAGCGTTCCTGGCTCCCACTGCAGATCCCACTATGGTGGGACACCCAGGCTTGGAAAGACCCCAGGACACTGACTGTGCCTTTCCACATTCCCCAGCAGCACGTGCGCACATACCACTGGTCCTCGGCTGCGCGGCACTTACCCACTTTCTTCTCACACACGCTCCTCTGTGTAACATCTTGCCATTGGGCCTTGGGGCCTCTTACATTTTTGAGAACAACTCCTTTCCTGTTTGCCACCAGGTAGCCCTGGCTGCTGCCCAGAGGAGAGAGCAGTGAATCTGAGCAGTCCCAGCTCATGTAGCCCACGCTGCCGCAGAGACTCGTCTGCACGCTGTTGGCCCCCACCACGGAGAGACAGCTCTGTGTGCCGTGATTCATCAAAGAATCACCTTGCCAAGACCAGTTCTGGAAACCTGACTCTGGATTACAGTCCTCCAGCAGTAAATTCCCATCTGTCGGGCTGGCTTGTAAACACAGGTCGACTTTAGCATTTTTCATCAGAAAAGCTTCAGTGTCTGCAAAGAAACCAGCATATGAGTGTGGCCATCCCCTAAGCACTGGACATATATGCACACACAGTGTATAGGGCAGATGGGAATGGCACCCAATTCTGGAACTGGGAAGTCAGCTCCGGACAAAAGGCATTCAAGAGGCAAACTGCCTCCAGTCCAGCTTCTCTTTGCCAGAGCTGCTGGGCTCTTAGCTGAGCTTTCCCTGACCCACGCTTCTCAGCAAACATGACTCAAGCATTTCCTTTTGAGTGTGTTCTGGGAAGTCTAGCTAAACTGTCCTTCTGACTGATGCTGAGCTCTGGTTGAAGCTGTATCCATAGCTGTTCCCTGGAGAAGAGATGATGGAAAGCTCCTCTCCTCGACCTGCGCTCTGCTGGGCCCCTTGGTGAGCTGGCTGGTGCCAGCCCACAGCGCCACACAGCCTGGCCCATGCTTAGCCCCTTCCTGCTGCTCCTGGGAGGTGGGAGGCTGCTCTCCTGGGTCCTTCCAAGAGGCAGAGGAGGCTCAGAACCTTTGGTAAGCCTCATTGCTGGCTTCTGCTTTCATTCCGGGGACAGACACCCTGATGTCCTGCTCCAGCTGGATGAACTAGGAACTCTCTCCAATGCCTCTGTTTCTGGGGAACCACCGGGGGAAGGGTTTGGGGCTCAGGTCTTTCCAATTTGGCTGTTTAACCTTAAAGTGTCAGCTGAAACATCTCTCTGCACGATGGAGGTGCAGATAGTCCTGACAGACATTGATATTGGGTTTAAAAAAATTATATCTCTGTAAATTAGGTGTCTTCCTCAGTGTCAAAGAGATTGCAACAGTGCTGTAAGCACAGGCTTAAGGTGCAACTTTCCCCACAGTTAAGCCAGGCTGCTGCTGGCATAAACTGAGGAAAATGGGCCCACGGAGAGGAAGAAACCATATTTCCAGAAAGTTAATGTCTTTAATGCATGCCTTTGCCATAATACTATCTGTATGTGTTTGCCCTCAGCCACTGAGGTGTTCATAAGGTCATACAACAATGCTGGAAGCTCTCGCACATGTACATCCACCTGCCCTGCAGACAATGTCTTGTTGTAACCCCTGCTGAGCCTGGCGTGGGTGAGAGCCTGTGAAGAGGCACAGCCTCAGCACGGGTGACCTGCTCCACCCGCACCATTATCCCCCAGCCAAGACTCTACCTTGCAGCAGGAAAAATGGGATTATCCAGAAGAACTTCATATTTGTATGTGCAGCTGGGATGGATCACGCCTTCACGCCGTCAGTGTTTCTTCAGTGTGCAAATGCCTGGGAAAGAGAGAGAGAGACGAGAGGTGAGGGATAACCTCGAAGTGTCCTCTGCTAGCTCCCACTGTACAGTGCCACTGGTTTTATCAGTGGGAGCCCTGAAAGTTAACACGAGTTATAGCTCAGAGGGACTGGAGACAGCAGGCCAGCACGTTTCTCCTCTGGTGTCTACAGTAGATGAAAGGAGACAAAACCACATACAAGTCATGACCTTTTAAATGACTCAGTGCTCATGCCGATTCCCCTCCCAGCTCCAGCTCTGCATTCAGAGAGGGAACCTGATGTACCCCTGCAGTTGTGGCATCTGTTTTCTTCTGCGAACGTGAGCCTGAGCTGCCAGCAGTTCCTGGGAGCCACTGAGGTGATAGTAGAGTGTGTCTGGCACAGGGTCTGCTGCCTGGGGGTGGACCCCTTGCCTAAGTGACCTCATGCAGATCCGAGCTCGGCTACTGAGAGCCAGCCCCTCCCCAACTAACCTCGCTGCTCCCCTGCCACGATCCTTATAGAATACATACTTTGCAGACAGTGACTACCAGCTGCCAATCCATGGATGGCAGAATAAGGGCGTGGAGATGAGGAAGTGGAGGGTTCAGCTCCAAGAGGAGGAAAAGCTGGCTTGCCATTGAGGCAAAGGTATCTCCCATCCCTCGGGGAAGCAGAAAGCTCCTCCTTGACCTTTAGCCCCTCATTTGTGAGTGGCATCAATCCAGCTTTTATGGCTGCTTGTCCAGCTCAGCTCTTCAGCCTCCTTTGGAGGGACCTGATCTGAGCAGAGGGTTCCTGTCTGTCCACTGTGAGTTAGTTTGAGATGGTTAGGTTGGTTCTCCCCAGCCCACTGCTCAGCCACTGCTCACTGGCCTCATCATAACTGTAACTGACTCACAGCTGAATGACAGCACAACACACATGCATCCCTCAGACACACTGGCCCCACAGGTCATTAATTATTATATGAAGACTTAGACTTTTATAACTGTATGATATGCTCAACTTTTACCTGCTTTTGTAGTGTGGCCTGGCACTGCCTGAAACTGTTCCCTGGAAATCGCTCACGAGACCATTCCACTGCACCAGGCGTGTCAACAACGCTGCTGCTGACTCCTCAGGGAAGCATTTGTCCTATCGGTTATAGACCTAATGATTGCTACTATTTTCCCCCCTTCTCAATGTCTTCACAATTCAAAGTTCACATTTTATAGCCAACCAGGCATGCAGGCTGGCTCTCTGCTGCCAGAAAACCACCTGTTAGCAATTCTTTGAGGATGGGACTCTCAAATACATGGTCCACTTTGACTCTGTATTTCAGAAAAAACGGGTAAAGCTGTTCCCTGCAGTTAGGTATGCCAACTGCCTTACCATCCAGGTAACCTTTAGGTTATTCGTGGGAATCACTCCACAGAAAGGAGAAAATAAAGTCTTGGTGCCAATGAAATCAAGTTACAAGTCTGCTACACCCTAATAAGAAGTGCCACTTGAATGTGTTAAATCTTGCTGTGCAAGGCCTCTGTCTAATCATTTGCTCGAACAGGAATATTTGACATGCATGTCGCTGATTTTCTCCTAAGGTGTTTCATAACTTGTGGGCCACCTCCTGGCGTCCGCACTAAAGCTGCCACGCACAGCAGGGGTGTTAGAAAGCTGCTACAAGTACTTTGCTACTTCACAAAGTCTTCAGCATCGCCAATCTCCCCCACATGTCAGAGGCTGGAACGTCTCAGGTACAATACAGTAGCAAAATGGATATTTATCTTACGTTAACAGGAAATTTAGGTAAAAGCTTTTAAGGGAAACCCCCACTATTTTAAAGATCTTTTACATCTACATCAAACTGACCAAACTAGTTTGGAAGTTTCATTCATCAAAGCTACAAAACAAAGTGTTCTCAGGCCACTGTATCTACCCCAGCAGAGAGCCTGAGCAGGATCCAGAACACTGCCTGTACCACCAGTTTCCCCAGTAAGGAAACAGTGAGTCCCACAACTGGACATGCTCTGGAGAGTTTGGATCTTCCAGAATGAAAGAGACTTTTTAAAGTAATCTCCTCCACCTTCCCCCACACAGCTCTGCCCACATCCCGCTCCGCGTGGGTGAACACTGCTCCACCAAACAAGCTGAGAGAGCGTGGGTGATGTCTTCCCCAAGTTGTCTTAAGACAACTCTAAGCTGTGGACTTTGGTCTCCCGGCCCTCTGAAGACACCTAAAACCCTTCTGAGGTTGCTTCCCAGCTTGGGTACAACATGGAAAGCTCAAATGAGAGAAAGCTCGTGCATTTTATGCCTGTATGGAAGGAAGAAAGATCAAAGAGGCCAGCACCTCTCAAGGAAACATTTTACCTGTGTTATTTTGAGTTTATATTTACACCTGAACAATTTTGTAATTTCTTCCTTTTTGCAAATGGGATTTTCACAATAAAAGCTGCAAAATTTATATGCTGTGCGTACTTCAGGAACAAAGAGTCACTCGTCAATGCTGTCCCAAATCCTTTGTTCAAAATGAGGATCTGTGGACTTTGGTGGCATCCTATGAAATCTCAAGGAAGTACAGAAAAATGGCAAGTGACTGTTTTTTGCTCTACATACTGGTCCCAGCACTTAAATGGTAAAATCCCTCCTTATGATGGAAGCCTTTGGAGATATGAGACCCACCACACGCACAAGGCAGAGCTGAGGGATCGGTGCTCTAATACTTGGCATAAGCTGGAGAGGGGCCTGTCCCATGCAGGAACACACATGTCCCCAGCTGCATGTGGGCTCTTTCCGGCCAGGGCACAGCGCACAGTGCTGCGAAACCACCGTGTGCTCTGTCTCTTGTTTTTATCAGGTCTAACACTCGAGGCTGCTTACTAAGCCAGATGTTGCCCTCACTCTGCAAATGAGAAGTCTTGAGATACTTACTATATTGATATAAGTAAAGATGGACAGAAAAAAGACACTCTACTCACTACACAATATGGGGCAATGCACTTATTAACGTCCCAGTCCTTGTAACATAGTCTCCTCTTGTCATTCAGACGCTTTCTCTGGTAGTTATCTTATCTTAACTGATTGTGCTAAAATTAATCAGTTATTCCAAATATATTATAAAAGTGGGATGCCCTGCCTTTGGGATTCATATAGGATATACAATGGCACACCATGGAGATACAAATGGATGGATTGATTTATAAAAGTACATTAAGGACCGAGTTCAATTAAAGAACACAAGAAAGATGTTTAATATTTAAAATACTAAAGCAAGAAGGCAGTCTGTACTATTTTTTAACCTTTGTAAAGTCAAAAGTTAAAGAACAAATTTGAGTTATATTAAATATTTTCCTTTGACTGCTTTCCAGGCTGTTTATATGCAGGAATTACCCCAGCCTGCTTCTCACTTGCCATTCAGTCTCTCCTTAAACAAGTCATACAGCCTTTGCTTAAAATTTCCAAGGATCCGAGCTTTCTAACTGAAATAAATAAATAAGCCTTTTTTTACAGATAGCTATAAATTAACCCACCAGCTAGCACACCAGGAATGTCTGGTAATCTCCACTAACTCACCAGAAACATGCAGTTCCCAGCAGAGAGGAAGCTACATTTCTTCTTTAAGCTCTGCTGTCTGAAGATGTCTCCTCCGAGCACCCGTCAGCACCTTACTACGGCGTCAAGGCTGCCTTTCCTCCTACTCTCAGTATGCTACGAGCTGTGATTCATTCTGCTCCTGAGTCATGTGTGAAGGCCAGTCCAACAGG